TGTATATCGTAACAGGCCCTCTGCTCTGGACCTCAGTGTCCGGGCAGAAAGATGGGGGTGGAGACGCTTCTTCAGGTATACTGGACCGAGGCCGATGCCCTACCACTGAGCTACAGCCCTTATCCTGACATCCCCATGTCTGTAGTAGTATTCCCACAGCCTCCAATTCTTCATATCATCTATTGCCTATTATTATTATTATTATTATTCCAAAAAATTCCTAGTTGCTTTACAAAGATTAAAAAACAACACAGTCCCTGCTCACAGACTTCCAGTCTAGTAGACATAATGCAAAGGGAAAGAGGGGGTGTACTGTAAGAAAGGAAAACAAGCAAATTCTGGTACAATTCTTCTACATAAACGTTTAATGATCAGGTAGAGCAGCTACTGAGTAGAGGAATGGTCTCTTCCGATGAGGGGAGAAGCCAAATGGCAGGTGAAACAAGACAATCATGTTGTCTAACCACTCCCTCTGTAATAAGGGTGGGGAGAGTGATCGAAAGAGGAAGGGGGTTTCCTTGGGTCATTGGCCATGATAGCAAATTTGCTATTGGTTAACTCTGAACATTTTTTTTATCATTCATTTCTAGTTAAAGTGGACATGAGAGGAATGTTCATAGATTTAACTATGCTCACCTTAGCACCTTTTTACTTTGAGGAGTGATAGATAACCTTAATTAGTTATTTGAAAAAGTAATTAGAAATTACGTATATGGTTACACTCCATAACTATTAGCAGTTAAGGAAATGTATCTAGTTCAAAGCCTCTCTGGATAAGCATAAAGCAAATTACAAGGCTTAATCACTGTGATATTCTTTCCAGGGCTGCCTCTTTCTTTATTTCTAAAAGGTCTTAGGAGTTATAAAATTAATCTGCCATACATTTCATGGAACCTGTTCCAGAAGCCAAAAGTTCTCCCATTAAATGTTTCAAGTGGAATCCTGATCTCATTCAATGTGGGGATAAGTTCAGTTCTGCAAGTACAGTGAGATGGAGTTAGATCACCTGTGGCATATGAAACCAATTCCTGATATTTGATTCTAGAGTGTTTCAAGCGACTCTTCTAAGGGTGCCCGTGCATCTAGCATCCTTGTGGCAAAAATGCAAATGTGAGCTCATAATTGTATGCACTGTGCTGTATTTTATGGCTCTATCTTATCTGTCAAAATATTAAACCTTTGTTCACATAATTAGCTCCTTCACTCAATCAATCCTCATGGTGACCTTAGTGAAAGGCAATTTGTGTATTCTAAATTGGAAATGCTAATAAGATATCAAAAGGAGGAATTTGCTTGTTGGTTTAATGAAGCCATAGCGTGACACTTTTTTATTAAAAAATAAATATATTAAAGAAAGACATAGCAACTGGGAGAAGGGAAGTGTTCATTAGCTTATTGAAGCGGGAAGCAAAAATATTTTGCTAGTTTAGTTACGCTTCAGTCCTAGAATCTTGTGCAGTACGATATATACTTTGTAGATCAGTGGATCCCAATCCTTCAGTACCTGTTTGGTTGCCTCTTACTGACACACTAAGTGGCCGTCTGTCAGGGATTCTTTAGCTGTGATTTCTGCATTGCAAGAAGTTGGATTGGAAGACCCTTGCTGTTGCTTCCAGTTCTGCAATTCTATGATTCTATTATTATAAGTCTCATGGCTTTCTCCAGCCAGATCTGATGGGCAAACAGAAGAGTGCTGCTCACTTCAGACTCTGTTTGTGAGCTTCCCAGAGAAATCTACATAAGAACATAAAAGGAGCCCCACTAGATCAGACCAAAGGCGCATCTAGTCCAGCATCCTTCTTCCCACAGTGGCCAATCAGAAACATGTGGAAAGCCCACTAGCATGAATAGCACTCTTTTGCTCATGATCCCCAACAATTAGTTTTCAGAGTGTATTATATCTAATACTGAAGGCAACATTCAGCCATTATGACTAGCAGTCACTTTTGGAGACAATTTCAAAATTAGCTGCAAGGTGTTCATGTTTTCTCTCAGTGAAGGGGGAGCCAGCATGGTGGCCTCTGGATTTTTTGGGACTACAACTCCCAGCATGCTCAGCCAGCATGGCCAATGGTTAAGAATGATGGGAGTTGTAGTCTGTAGACATAGAGGGCACCACGTTGGCTACCCCTGAAATAGAAGGAGACTTCAGTAATATCCACAATACAGAGGTACAGAAAGGCAAGAATATTAGTACTTTATAGGTTTTTATTTTATTTCCAGGAAAAAAACCTAGAGACAATAGAATTACTATTCATCATTTTTATCTTTCTTCTTTGTGCATTATTCCCTAGATAATTATGTCAGCATTGACTGCATTTAAATTTCTATTAAGTACTTCATCCTTATCGACCATACCTATCTTCAGAAATGACAAATGGTTGCTACTGAAAATGGAATAAAAGTAAGCAAATTAGTAATTGTGCATTTTAATGAATGGCTGCAAACTCTGCCCTTCGTGATGGTGGAAGAAAGGTACATGCACATCTTAACAGCAATAAAAACAATATTCTTGCCTGTCTGTACTTCGTTGCAGTTCAATTGCACTCCAGCAAATTCAAGTTACACAACTTGGTACTCTTGCACAAGTACACTTCCAAGAACACATGACTTTTTTCGGTAAGGAAAAGGCACTGGAAAGTGTGGGATACTGATTGCTTTATGGGATGTTATATAACCTCTCCACAAATAAATTGGAGGTTGGATGATATATCATTCCCAACACTTAAATCTAATGTGTGAGCTCAATAAATAGGTCAGTTGGGAAGTGACCTGAGTTCTAGGTTCAGTTTGGGCTCAGAGAAAAAAACTTAAGATCAGTTGTCCTAAACTTTCTCCCAGTGTTGGGCTCTTCCCATCTATCTATATATATGATGTAACCATGGAAGATGCAAATATTTCTGTTTGATAAATATTCTTGTGATGATGATTAATTACATTCCAAAACTTCTACACATTTACAAAGTGGGCAATTAGATATCCAACACTTCTATCTTTGCTGCAAGATGAATAAATTAGTTTATGAATAGTGACAGGATCAGTTAAGTGTAAGAAACCTCTATATTACTTCATATCACTCACCAAAGACTTTGGAACATTTGCTTTCATCTGAGGAATTTTAGCGTTTCAACAGATTTTTTTATTGCCATGTGCAGTCGGGCACAGCACTGCAAATAGATTTCAAAGTTTCACCATCTAGTTATCTTTTAGTGCCTTTGTACAGCAGAGAATAATTTTACTGATATTAAAAGTGCCAAGTGATGCCTGAATTAAAGGACTTTAAAAATAATTAGAACCCACTGCTTATGAGCATGTGTATAGGCTGCTTCCCATGGTCAATTTCCTTCCCCACAGGTGAGATGGTGTATATAAACTGGACTATCCACATTACAGGTGAGCTGAAACAGACACTACCACCTTAATTTACCACCTCGTTCAGGGCCAGTCCTACTATTAGGTAGCCACCCCAAGCGACAAATTTTGGTGGGTGATTACAAGAACCTTCTGGCTGTTCCTTCTGAGCCAATCTCCCCTGTTAGATGACAGAGCTGTCCAGGCAAAAGGCCTGTCCTTGGTTTTCTAAACTGGACAGACAGCTGCCACAGGTACATTGAATGCCATTAGTGTCAGGCTGCTGGTACGGGGCAGTCATCTTGTCCTTCATGTTATGTAACAAATTGTCTTGTGCCAGCCCTGAGCCCAGCTGCATGTGTTGAATTGAGTAGGTCCCTTTCAGTTCTACTTTTGTATCATTGTGGTTCAGGGTTCACACCATGAAATGACAGTTTCAGCAGAGAAGAGCTTGCAATTGTCCATCTGGCTCAGGTTTGTCTAATTTGACTGACAGCATCGTTCCAGGATTCCAGACAGGGAACATTCCCAGCCCTATCTAGAAATGCCAGGGATTGAAACTGGGCCTTCTCCATGCAAGGCAGATGCTGTACCACTGAAGTGGTTATGCTCATCAAATAAATATACAAATAAAATATCCAATAAATATACCAGAAGTCCAGAACTTAGGGTCTGACAGCCTCTTTCAAATCAATACACAAATTTCAGCTTCCTTGGTATTCCTGGACATTTGTGCATCTTCTCTTTGTCCCTCTTTCCCTTTCTCATACTCCTCCTTTCAGCCTCATCTTCTGCTCTACATTATTCTGGACCATTCCCTCTTCCAACACTTGCCTAACTCCTGTTTTGCTAGGATCAAGATTCATTAGGCTCATCAGTCTGCTCTAACACATACTGGGATCAATACCCAGATATACTTTTCTGTCTGAATTAACATGGCATTTGGGACACTCAGACAATTAGCTTCAGAGGTTTCAGCAGCACAATCCACAACTATGCAAAAGATACATTTCAAGGCAAATGGCTTTACCTTCTTCATCTCTGGTCAGTCCTTAGCTATATTCTACTAATCATCCCTTTATTTACTTATTACAAATGATAAGCCACCCTTTCATTGAAGACCAGATATCAGGGTGGACTATAAAGAAATTCAAAATTATCAAAGCATTAAAACACAAGCCTACAATACAATAAAAGTAGTGGAAATAAATGTTTTCATGGTTTTGTTTACCAGGAACTACAAATGAGGGGTAGTCTTCATGGCAATTAGAAAAACAGAGTAAGCTTTAATATCACTTATTCCCTTGGTTGGTCATTTGCATAACAGAATTTAGTACATTCACTTTCAGTAAAATCACAACAGCAGGAAAACAACATATTCTGATCTAAACTAGTCTTCCATTACATGATTTAATTGTAGTGGAATTTATCCTAATTTAGATGAATGCAAAATTGATTATATAGAAAATACCAGAATTTTAGGTCCTACCATTTTAGGTTCTAATGTCTAAATTAGAGACACAGAAACATACTCCAAGAAAGGTAACTGTTAGAGTTTCTGTTTGTTGCTAAAAGTAACCATGCATTAGTTATGAGGTGATTAGTTTTTCTAACTCCCAAGCAAGCGTTTTACTGGCTCGTTTAAAAAGCCTGTATTGTTCATTGGTTGTATTATTGTATTTAATACATTTATAATCCGCCTTTTAAAAAGAAACCTATTGAGAAGACAGCCCACAAACATCAACATCACGTGTTGTAGCAATGGATATAACAGCAGACTTCCCCTTATTCTCTGTTCCACTGCATCCCTCTGTGTCTCCCCAATCTGTCCTGGAGGGTTCCTCGACCCTATGGAGTAGATGTGGGGTGGTGGTGAGGATGAGCCTGGTGGGAGGAGAGGAAGGGAAAGTTTTATTGCACAAGTGATATTCTATTGCACAAATGATTGAATGTCGCCTGAATTTATAAATCAGACATGTGTATAATAATATAAAGATAATTTAAAATAAAACAATCATAACATCCAGTAAGCAGCTAGTAAATACATTTAAACAGGAATCAGTTCATTAAAATTATCGCACCCCATCATAGAAAGGACAGTAGACTTCATCAGCCCAATTAAAATTGTTGTGAAAAAGTCAGAGTAAACGAATTAGTTTTCAAGGCCTGTTTAAAAACCTACATGAATATTGTGTATTCAATTAGATCGATACTTCCTTCCTTCCATACTTTGAAATTGATTTCTCTTACAATTATTCATTTTTCTTTAAAATGCATCTGCCTACTTCTGACCTTTGCTGATGGGCAATGATACGCCATTTAGAAAATTTAATATGCAGCCACATAAGAGAGCTTGCCGATGAGATTTCTTCCTTCTTAAATCCAAGGGAAAGATGCATTTTCTCATCAGTCACAGTAAGTACTTTTAAGGACTGTTTAATGAGTTTATTTTTTTTCTCCCAAAGCAAATATGCATGGGAATAGCCAACCACACACCAAGAGATAGTAACAGTATATGTTCTTTTTGAAATTAGCTGCAAAGTAATCACCATTTCCAATCTTCCTTGAAAAGAACACTTTAATAAGCAATTATTATTTGTGAGGCAGTCCTCCTGAGAAATAGCTGGGATCTTTAGCTTTTATTGTTTGGTGGTAATGAAAATTGACGTGGACAGAAAATGGCAGGGCTTTTTTTACTCTTTGTAAAGAATTGAAACATTAAAATGCTGCTCAGTTGGCAATTTCTGCTCTCTGGGTAATCCTGAGTAGTGGAGACCCTGTGGTCACCTTGTGCCTTAACACAACACTTACATGGAAGAAAATGCTTCCTACTGAAACTCTAAATGCTGATGGAAATGTGTATCGATTTTCCTGAAAGGGGTGAAGAGATGATTAGGAGGAAAAGGAAAGGAAGAGACTGATGGCTTCACATCTTGTATTCAGAAACTGTTGGAATTCAGTCATTATTTATCGATCTGCTGAAAGCTGAACAAGCTAATGTGCTTAGGGCAAAATCCTACAGAGCAGACGAGCCATAATCAATGTGAATGTGATGTTACCAGTGTTTCTTTCTTCTCTTGTTGGGGCGATAAAACAAAAGACCGTGAAACATAAACCCATTGAAGTGGCAAAGAGATGAAGTCTTGTGGCATAAGCCTTTTAGACACATTCCATATCATGGCAGGTGGGGAGCGATGCATCACTCACGAGTGTATCTAATCAAAGCAAACCTATGGCTAAACAGTAATCCACAAGCACCACTCTCTGAAAAGCACACAGCCTTAGAAGAGACAAGTATAATAATGCCCTTAGTGACAAAAAAATGGCCACTTGTAAGAATGCGTAAAGACAATAGAGCATACAGAAGAGTGGCACCAGCAGGGGGGCCTCAAAACAGATCAACTCTTTTCTAAGGATCTAAAAATACAATGTATAATGTGTGCAATTAAATGTTGTCTGTAAGAATTTGTTCTATTAGTAAAACTGCACTGTAGTGGTTAGTTTCCATAGTTATCGTATGCATTCTAATTAACAGCTTTAATTAGGTGCCTGCAATATTTACACAGAAACCTTTACTTTCTGGGAACTGGAAATGATTGTGTTGTTTCTTTTAGCTGAAAACTGCAACATAGCAATGAATATATTTTTCATTCTGCAAATGTGTGCGCTACTCAATGCTGTTCTGCTTCATAAATTAGCTATCACAGAGAAAAAAACATATATGTTGTAGACACTGCATATATAGCACCATGTAAGTGGCAATATATGTTCTGCTGCTCATATAGGTTTGGGGATCAATGCTTCCTGTTTAGGTTACTGCAATGTGCTATACAGGAAGGTGTTCTTGAAGATGGTTCAAAAGCTTCAGCTGCTGCAGAATTAGCCCATGAATTCACCAATGGAGACAAGCATTCAGAACATATTACCCTGGTTCTCATCCACTTGTATTGGTTGCCAGTGTCTGCTTCAAGGTTTTGGTATGACCCTGTCAAGGTCAAATCTTTATTATGGCCATAGGCTCGCATAAGGTAAAAGCACCTACATACATGCAACAAGACAGACGCCTCCTATAGGATACTTTCCCCAAAAATCTGGAAATTTCTCTGCTATCTTTTCAGTGTCAGGCAAATATATTCATTTTTTCTTCCTCTTTTTTGTTTTGTTTTTCTTGTTTTTAGTAATTTTCAGTAGTTTTATCACTTATAAGAGGGTTACAGTTTTTAGGGTTCAGGGTTATCACTCCTTTCTATTGAAAGTTTTATTGTGGGTTTATTGAGTTATTGTTTATTGTGTTATTGTGGGTTTATTGAGCTATTTTTGCTTTTAATACAAGGAAGCTTTTTCTTACCTATAATGTATAATGAGTTATTGATTTTTTTTTTTTACAAGATGTAATTGTATTTATGTATTTTTAATTCAGTTTCTTATTAGTATATTGCAAGTCACCTAGAGGCTTCGGCCTAGATGACTCACAAAATGAATAAATGTTCATAAAGTAAGTAGTATTCATCTATGCATATCATCATATTTTTATTTTTGTATAAGAACAGCTGTTATATTATTATTTATTGCTTGGTAATCATTTCTAAATGTTACAAATGTCTTTCCAAATAACTTCTTTTCAGAATGTCCAAACAACATTATATAGGGCACAGCAGTCTAGCCAAAGATAATAATTTATAAGCCCTGTCTCCCTCATTGAAATCAATGATATTTATAATTGTTGAACTTTTGATGGACCACACCCATATTTTTTATGATCAACAAGTAATAGACTGGCAACATGTATAAAGATAAGCTAAATGGATGAGCCTAAGTATAGAGGTTAAGTCAGTCTACTTATTCTGAAGAACATACACACTACATGTGATGAGGTGAGAGGGAGAGAATATATAACTGATAGATAATATTTTGAATTTTTAAAACTGCAAATATCCCAGTGCAATAATATTTTTGAGGCTACAGAGCCAGGAAATGTCTTGTGACATAAATGTCTTATCTATTTCTGCAAGCTTTCCTAGGCGTGAGTAGATCAGGATATAAATATTCTCACTGGAAGACATTGACATCATGCTAAAATCAGTTTGGGTCAAACCACATGACACATTAGGAACTTTAAAAAAAAAAAAAAGCTCCTCTTAGCACGGGCCAGTTTTGCCCCGCAGTCCCAGTCAGGATTGCAGCATTTGGAAAATTGTGGAAAGGAAAAGCTTAAGCTAAAGGAGACAGTGTGATAGGAAACACACACACCTCACCTGATCCTAAAATGGCAACCCTAACCACCCCCAACATGGCAGGGTTTTACAGAGTGGCAGGGCCACTGCTTCATCCACATCACTGCTGTGCAGAGCAGCTGGGGCAGAAGGTGGGGTCAGGTAGATTACTATGGCAACCTAGATCAAGCCAAGCCTGAATTAGGTCCAATGCCTGCTGGCTCAGCACAGGCCTGGAAAGCTAGGTGGAAGAGGAAGCTTCATAGCAAAAGAGCAATACTGACAACATTCTGCAGGCAGTGGCTGGTGAGAGGCCATTGGGGACATCTATGTGTGGAGAAACACCTCTCAAGGACCACCTCTCCCCTTAATCTGAGCTGGACTCTATGCTCATCATCTGAGATCTTTCTTCATTTGCCTCCTCCACGTGAGGTCCGGAGGGTGGCAACATAAGAACGGGCCTTTTCTGCAATGGCTCCCCATTTGTGAAATGGGGAGATTCATCTGGCCTCTTCCTTATATATCTTTAGGCACCAGGCCTTTGGTTGATTAATATTCTGCAGCCTTTTAAACATTTTTGTGGGGAGTATTGTTTTAACTATTTATTTCTCCTTCTATCTTGTGTTTTCATATTGTGAATCACCCTGAGATCTTCTGATGAAGGGTGGTATATAAATCTAATAAACAAACAAACAACCCCCCCCACACACACCCAGTCCATTGCACAGGAGGTTTGAATTGCTCTGTAAGACCTGTAAGATTTTCTCTCTCCCATGTGGGCAAACTGTTTCTCTCTGATCCATAATTTCTTCCAGAGCCCTATTGTCACCCTATCCTTCAGCCTGAGTGCTTGAACAGCTGGAACAAAGAAACGAGAAGCCTGGGGCCTAAAGCAGATGCAAGGATGGATAAAATGTAATGGACAGACACACCATTGGGACAGAAGAGAGGTGACAGCCTGCTGCACAAGGAAAGGATTGGGATGCTGAGGGCATCAAAGTAAGCAGGCAGCTCTACAATTCAGATTTCTGAGAGCAGCTTTCAGTGGGCTGGGGACCAAGATGCCAATCTGCCAGTGGAAAGCCACGAGTCACTTTTGCTCAGAATGAACCATGCAGGAAGGGTCATTCTAGTCATAATACTTTTTTTTTTGCTGGGACGTACCTTGCACCTGAACAGATTTACTGAGCCATGAATAAGCAATCCTGTCAAAGCTACAGCTGGTACATGCTCTTGTTGCTTTCTTTTATTGCTTTGTTTTCCTACTATTTTTCTGCAGCCGGAATGTGCCATGACAACACCCTCCCCGTAGAATACCTGTGCATTGAATGAAGTATCATGTTGAACTAGGTCAGAGGGCTGCACATCAATATGAATGCCAAATCTCAGGCATATTGCACACCACACTTTGGCATCTGTTACAGCTACGTATCCCCACTAGACTCCGCTGGGTTGTGCAGTGGTAATGAGGGCAGAATATGAGAGTGTGGGTACATCGCAGGAATGAATACAAATTATGAGTGAATAAATTTCACATCCTAATTGGCTTTTAGAGGGCTTGTTGTCAAAGGCAATGTTACAGCAGCTTTTCATGATTATTCAAATAATTGTTTCTGAAAAGAATTCCCTTCATATGTTTAGCATGCCTTGTCTGGATAGAAGGAAAAGACCATAGAATAAAGAAAAGCTGGGTGCAGCACAGAAGTACTGTCTACACACAAACTCTCCATGGCTTAGAACCAGAGAAGTTTCTGTGGGATTTAATCCACTGGGAGCAGTCAAATACAACTTTCCTTGTTTTGCTAGAGTGGACATGCAAGGGAATGTTTGGTCCAGCCAGTCGAAACTTCCTGTTCCTCCTGGCCTGGACTGTGGTTTTTTCAACCGATATACTGGCATGTCATGCCAATTTTCATTCACACCAGTGGGCGTGGTGTGACACAACAATGGACACCATTGGACAACTTCACTTCTCCCCCTTTCTTTAGATGTGTGCTTCTGTTCTCCCATGCATAATTGTTTAATAGTACAACAAAATGGAAAATAACTCTCTATCTGTACTGCTAAAGGCGTAGCATGGTATGGAAACCTCCACTGAGCTAAAAAGAAGAAGAAGAAGCTCTCAGAGAGTCTAAGAAGTTAATGTTTGGGTGAGAATGTATCTCTGCCAACTCACACTTGGTGTTTAACTTAGATCACATGAGGTATTCATTTACAAGTCTCCGTTTTGAGTGTGTGAGTTAGGTCTTTGTTCTGACGCACTGGAGAAGAAAGGATGTGCAAATTATTCTCCAGTTCTCAGGCTGGGTTGGAGAAGCAGAGCTTTGATTTCAGCTCTGGGTGAAGTTATTTCATATTTCTAAGATTCTATGCCTGTACTTGGATCAGCACATGATGTTATGCAACTATTTGGATGTAACATTATTTGCTTTATGTTTGTTTTGAAGCAAGGTAATTAAGCTCTTGAACCATATTTTTGGACTGGACAGTTTTTAATTCAATAAGAATAAGTTTTTATTCATCCTATTGCTTCCAAATGTGCAATATTAATAACTTCAATAATGATTCCCCCATGGAAAGAACTGTATTGGGAGGTTTGTAATGCCTGGTGTTTTTATTATGTTTTTAGATATGCTGTAAGCCGCCCAGAGTGGCTGGGGAAACCCAGCCAGATGGACGGGGAATTAATAATAATAATAATAATAATAATACAACCCAAATTTTATCACTTTACTCCTGTGATTTTTCTGGGTTAAGGGGGTGGCAAAAAGATTTGTTCTAGAATCAAATAACAGATACCATATACGTGATATTTTCCTTATGTGTTCTGATGAAGTACGAATGGGATACAATCCATGAGATCTCATCTAACAACTTGAGGGATTTGAAAAGCAGCTGTTTGAAGAGTTTGGAGATACTGATTAGATATATGTTCATTTCACGCGTGATTTTGATGGTCCACTTATAAAACAATTTTCTATAATTTTCATTGGTTTGCAGGTTCCTATGAATTGGTCTATTTTCTTTTTCATAATTAGGGACCTTCTTTATTTTGGTTCTTTGGCATCTCTGCTATCTGGTCCCTTCCCAGTCAGACTATATTAATGGTCAATACTTCTGCATAGTATGGAGGGAGATTGAGACCTCATTTTTGCAGCAATCCACTCTGGATTTTCTCAACAGAAACTCCTCCTTCGCTTTTGAATCACCTTCTTAGCCTGATTCAAAGATTATGTGTCATGTATAAGACTTAGATTCATGTGTTGAACACTTCCTCTGTTGCTGCTGCTGTAAGAATTGCTAAAGCCTTCGCTTCCGTATTCAATTGTCCATAGTGTGGCGTTTGTATGGAGTCCCCGGTCGTCTCACGGACTATTGACTCGTACACCACTAATCCGCTGCCACCAACCATGTCCTCCCTGGTAAAATCACTTCAGTCTCAGTCATGTTTTCAATTAATAAAGAAGAGTGTACTTTATTTTAGACACAAACAAACTTTTACGGCATTCCAAACGTTGTTGCTCTTTACTTTCTTAGTCTTATTTTCCTCTCTCTATCTCTTCTACCTCCCCACACTCAAGAATCCTCTGCCCTAACTGTCTCTCTATTACCAACTGCCTGCCAACTGCTTCTCCAACTGCCTTTCCCAACCAGCCAGCCCACTAAAACCAACCAACTACCACCAACAACTCCCAATGAACTCCTCCCAGAACTGATTTTATAGTCCCACTGACTTCACCCCCCTGTGTCCTGACTGGGCAACCTGTTTAACTATTTACCTCCAGCACTCTCTCTTTTGTTAACGTCACACATACCTACTGTGAATAGAATTCACTGTGGTTCAGGGAAGAAAGCAAAGTTAGTTAAGCCAGGTTTGAAGTTGGACTCCCCCCAAAAAAAACCAGGGCTGGCCCACCCATGAGACAAGCTGAGGTGACCACCTCGGGTGGCAGGATCCACAGGAGTGACAGATCCAGCCTCCGAGGCATTTGTTGCCAGCTGCTGCTGCAGTGGAAGCGATATCTAAGACATGTTCCTTGGAGGCCAGACCAGCTGCCTCCTCAGCAGCAGCCCCCGATTCTGCCTCCATAGCACCCTCTTGGTGAATAGGAGGCACTGCTTGTCTCCTCCCATCCCTAGGCAGGAAATGGAAGGGACTGCCTTCTGTGGTCTCCTAGGCTCTGCACCTGCCTGACATGATTCAGAGAGTGTCGCCCCCTATGATGGGCTTTGATTCCCATTTCCACCACTGAGTAAGGTTGATTTTACTCCCCCGCCGCCACCACCACCATTCCTGATGTAGATCTTCACTCACCCCTTCCTCCCTGGTGGGGAGGATGCCATTCTGTAGTTTATTTCAGGTGCCAAAATATATAGGACCGGCCCTACCCTAAACCATACGATACACTGTGCAAAATGTCGAAGTGTGGTTCATTGGAAATGGAAATTAATGGTTCTGATCTCATCAAAAGCCATCGCAGGGGAGAAGGAAAGGGGTGCTTGCAAACCCAAGTTCCAACCAGGCTCATTCCCATGGTGCTAACAAAACAGAAGATATGAGGGCTACTTGAAATGATAGGAGCGAGTGGAATGGTCGAAAAATGGCAAAGGTGGTGTCAGAGAGCCAGTGTAGATGGTTAATTTTGTATCTGCTGTCAAAATAGTATAAATGTTAGCATCTGAAGAGGAAAAGCATTCTCTTTCAAAGTCATGTGCTGCTTTTTCCAGATGCACAGTTTCACAGAGGGAAGGAAGAACTGTTTAGCATCCCCAGCAGAGTAGCTGTTGGGGACTTGGTTGCAACAAATGAGATACACTGCACTTAGGTACATACCACATACATGGATCCTTGTCCCTTTTGATTTGTTTGCTCTGGTGTATATATTGTTAACTGAGCAGTGCCTGCAGTTTTTGCATCTGCTGTACCTACAGGGGATCACTGCAGTTTAGGTTGTTGTGTCATGATTTATCGGAAGCTTGTTCTAATTATTTTTTTAAACTGTAAAAAGGTGTGTGAGTCTGTGGAGGTCCCTGATTATGCAACATCAGTGTCTGCCCAACCTGTTCCGCCATGAAATATTGAGTGTTTGAGGAAAGTTTTTCCTTTTTTTGAAATGTATTTTAGCACATGTACGTTACACAGTATATGCATATTGCACTTTTTTTAAATTATTGTGATATCTTGTGTGGTCGTTTTCTGGTGTGTCTTTTGAGAAATATTGGCTTGAGGTTGAATCCAATAGGGAGTCATTGCATGAACAGAAAGATTTCTGTTCATGCAGCAGAAATTACCCTCCCCTCCCTCATGGATTCCATACACCACCCCCAAATTTGCAGGATTGGGGGAACCCTCAGAGAAGATGTGAAGATGCATAGTCCACACTCTCAAAAAAGCCTATTGAAAATGAAATGGGTGTGTCTTTAATGAATGCCTCAAGAATCCAGTGGCAAAACAGTTAGCACATGGGTAGGCAAACTAAGGCCCGAGGGCCGGATCCAGCCCAATCACCTTCTAAATCCAGCCCACAGATGGTCCGGGAATCAGTGTGTTTTTACATGAGCAGAATGTGTGCTTTTATTTAAAATGAATCTCTGGGTTATTTGTGGTGCATAGGAATTCGTTCATTATTTTTTTTCAAAATATAGTCTGGCCCCCCACAAGGTCTGAGGGACAGTGGACCAGCCCCCCGCTGAAAAACTTTGCTGACCCCTGACTTAGCAGATATCCTCAAGAGATCTCACAATATGACAACCCCAACTGAAAAAGAACTTCTCCAAGTTTCAGCCTCTTCAAAATAGTCCCTGTGGATACCATTTCATGCGGTAGGTGAGATGGATGTAGGAGAATGTGCTTCCTAAGGTACCCAAGACCTGGAATGACAGGTCATGAAACATTTAGGATATATCCATTTAAGCCCCACTTTAGCATAATCTTAAATGGAAAGAAGAGCAGTCATGGCAAATGTATTTTAGACAACGAAATAACTAGAGATAATAAAAGATATTATATCCTGCCTCACTAAGTAATCAGAAGAGGTGTCAATTGGTTGTTATGAGTGCCAAACAACCTTTCAATAAGGAAGTTTATTATGATGCTGATACATGGGCTATGCAGCAAGAAAGAATATGTCTGAAAGAATATGCCTGAAAGACAAGGAGGTATAATGTGAATAGCAAGACAGTAAGGAATCTACCCTAATAATAAAAAATTCTTTTTGCACCTAAACAAGTCCCGTATTTTTCACTCCATAAGACACACTTTTTTCCTACTAAAAGTTAAGGGGAAATGTGAGTGCGTCTTATGGAGCGGATGGCGCTGTGCAGAGACGGAGAGCTGCGCAACGCCCGTTCAGCGAAGCCGGAGGAGGAACAGAAGGAGACCCTTCTGTTCCTCCTCCTGCTTCACTGAAGAGGCGCTGTGCAGCTCTCCCTCTCTGCGCATCTCTCCCTCTCTGTGCAGCGCCTCTCCTGCGAAGAAGAGGTGCTGCACAGAAAGGGAAAACTGTGCAGCGCCCCTTCAGCGATGCCTGTCTTGCAAAGCTGGAGGAGGAACAGAAGGAGAGGTGCTGCGCAGAGAAGGAGAACTGCGCAGCACACCTTCAGTGACACGCCTGTCCTGGCTTCTGCCTTAGATGTGCGCAGCCTCTTCGGGCAGGGGGAGCCTTCATCCCGCTGCCCTGAAGAGGCTTGGCGCGGTTATCCCAGAAGCCAGAACAGCCACACGGTATCCCAGAAGCCAGATCCCTCTTGCTGTTCTGGCCTCTGGGATTCAGAATAATTTTTTCTTGTTTTCCTCCTCCCAAACCTAGGTGCACCTTATGGTCTGGTGCGTCTTATGGAGCAAAAAATATGGTAAATATCAAGTTGTTCCTCTGACTCTTTGGCTTCAGTATTTGCCATCAGGACCTGTCACACATTAGTGACCCCAGCCGCTCCTCCCTATTCCAGATTGTAGCCTGTAGTTTTGAGTATTGTAAACAAGATCATTTGAAGGTTCATTTTTATAATGCCTCAAAAGCTTAACTTTCCCCCCCTCCTTTGAGGGCTTACCTAAAAATGAAAGAAGCTCTTTCACATCTGATTGCTGTTTGCTTTAGAACCAGTCTGTTGACTAAAGGAGATCACAAATTTTGATTAGCATGGCTTAATTGCCACAATTTCTCTTCCCCGGTAATTTGCTATTGACAAAGATGTATTAACTTCATGCCTATGAAAAATGGCAACCTGTATAAAAATGTCTGCAGTTCCTCGGTTTTGATAGTTCTGTTTGCATTTATTTTTTATTCAGTATTTATTTTGTATATGATACAGGCTAAAGGTTGCTGTGCATCACCATAGTTACTGAGAATTTCTGTTAAACAGCTAGCCTACTTTAACTCTTAGGCAGTCAAGCATTCTGCAGGGAGTGCACAAGAAAATGTTTGGAAGTAAGTATCTTTCATCATTTCCTTTGATGAGCAAATTTGGTAGTCCTATGCCAAGCAGTTGGAAAGTAAAATGCAGCCAAGGTAGGGGTTTCCAGTTGGATATGTGATAAATTCTTCCATCACCCACCAGCCACTGCAGTACACAAGGACAGATACTACTCTAGAATAACAACCAAAATCAAGGCACTCTGGTTCCCCTCCATGTTGTCACCACTTTCACTGTATATAACTTAGTTGTGACTGTATTTACTATCTATAAAGAAATTACAAATTGGTTTAATAGTTCCTTTGGTTGTTGATTGAGAATCTTTTCTACTTGGCAGTAATGACTACAAATTACATTTATGACAGCTCATAATGAGTGGGGAATACCACATGTTCCATCATCTCTTATTTTCTCTGGTCCTTACTACAGCTCTTCTGCAACTAGTAAACTTAGGTGGTGTGTGCAGACAGGACTGAAGCCCAAATGTCACCCCGCTAATCCTTGCTTCCCTTTCTCCATCCTACTCTACAGTCTCCATTTTCTGACTACAGTGGTACCTCGGGTTAAGAACTTAATTTGTTCTGGAGGTCCGTTCTTAACCTGAAACTGTCTTTAACCTGAGGTACCACTTTAGATAATGGGGTCTCCCACTGCTGCAGCACCGCCACCGCACAATTTCTGTTCTCATCCTGAAGCAAAGTTCTTATCCCTAGGTACTATTTCTGGGTTAGCGGAGTCTGTAACCTGAAGCGTCTGTAACCTGAAGCGTCTGTAACCCGAGGTACAGGAAACCCGAGGAAACAGACAATATTGATTTGGACAGGGGCCACAGCACAGGGGAAAGGCTTACACATACATACACCATGGCATTATTATTATTAATATACTGCTATACCATGGCCACAATCCAAATCAGGATTTCCTGTTGCAGCTTTTGTTATAAAGTTCAGTGAGTGCATTTTGGCTAATTATCAAACTATCTCACAGCCAAGTACAAGGTAAGAGGGTAGTGAGAGACCTGGTAGTATGGAAAGCAAGGTAGTGGCTTGGCTTCATCTTCCCCTCCTGTTACTAGTGCTGTGTCCACCCCCTTTTGTTTGTTGACCCTCCAATGCAGAACATGCACACTCTGAACAAGATGTCCATTACAGTGTTAAATGAACAATACATGGACTTCCTCATCTTTAGCAAGCAGGTGAGTAACAACAATGGATACCAATGTAAGGCAATATGTTTGCCTCCTCTTTAGGTGAATTTTTCAATGTGGCTTTAAGCAGTCTGACTATTTCTTCTAATTTCTTCCTTCTTCTTTTTTAGATATGGAACTGACTTTTCTGAGAAAATCCCACAAATACAATTTTTCAGAAACAATTTCCTGAGGGGGTGTTTACTGATGATCAAACTGGTAAAAAGAACAAACCATATATTTTAAAAAGAATCACTTTAATAAGTCAATAACCTAGCATTAACATGACTGAACTGAATTTGAATTGCTAAGCTTCATCAGAAGAATTTTTAATGCCTATCTATATTCCTGGGTTCTCTTGAAAGACACGAATTATTATTATTTTTAAATCCCAACTCTGCTATATTACACGAGTTACTAAAATTCATATTAACTGAATATTGACTTCAGATCCTGTGTAGCATTGATTTACAGAATTGCATTCCACTGTATAAAACTATAATAAAAACAAGCCCCCAACCATTTTGGGGGTGTAAATTCTATAAATTGCAATCCTGAACAGTGTAAGGTTTGCTTAAATATCATTTATTTCATTGTGGATTGGATTGCCATCATGGATCTCATCTGAGGATTGTATTTCAGAACACATATTCTGGGAGACTTTGTAGCTGATGCGTTTGCACACATGCACCAGTCACTTTAGATAATAAATGATTAATGATGAAAAACTAAAGTATTTGCACACAAATTCCCATTTGATTACAGTTCTGATTTTTCTACCATTTGTGTTCCATCTAGTTTTCTATGCTTTGCCCTAGCCTTATCATTAAATATTGAGGGAGAAATAGTCATTTATCAGAGACACGCCATATGCTGAAAAATTTCAGGTTTTTTATTTTTTTTTTAAAAAAAAACACCTGACAGCTAGGTTTTGTCCAGAACCCCTATTATTTGAATTCACAAGGTGCTCCCCATTTTTGAATAGAATTACTATTTATCCAAATGTAATATATTAAACTTGTTATTTTATATTCCTCTCACACTCATGTCCTTCAAGGGGAATGTTTACTACTCTGATGTGCATGAATGATGCAGTTCTGCAATCTAAGAAAAAGAAATATACCTTGGGGGGAGGAATATATGTGCTATGTTTCATAGACATTGCAGAAGAAAAACCTGCATGGCTAGCATCCTAATCCTCAGTTATCATTAACCTGAACGGGAGGCCTATTAATACATTCCCTGGCAATTGCTTGATGGCCAAGAAAAACCCATTCCCTCATAGTCAGTGTTCATGTTGCCTTGATAATGAAGAGTCTGATTGGGAGAGGCGGATGATGCCACAGGAAGTAAGTGCTGGTGCGATTCAGATACATCATCTTTGCCCCGGCCTATCTTTCCATATGCTACCAAAACAAAGTGGGTGCAGACAGGGGTGCCAACTTGAACAAAATATTGGAGGGGGAGATAAGTAAGCCCTGCCCTGCATAATCAATCACATGACACGGAGTACAGACACCATTTGAATGACAATGCCCATCAACATGGGAGGGAGGCCAGCTCAAATATTTTATGTGTGTGTGTAAAGACCCCTCAGTCCCTAGGAGTTGGCTCCTATGGATCCAGATCAGGTTCAGCAGCTGCCTCACCACTGTAGTGACACCTGTGTTGGCTGGATTGAAATGAACTGATGTGGCACCTACGTACGATGGCCAGAAACAGAGGAAATGTATCACCAAAAAGAAAAACAACATTTGCATAACATTGTCTCAAGCTTATGCATATGTGTATGTTTAGATCAAGGAAGTCAAACGGTGGCTCTCCAGATATGGATGGACCTCAACTCCCATCAACCCTGACATTGCTCATGCTGAGTCTTATGGGAGCTGAAGTCCAACAACTTCTGGAGAGCCATAAGTTAGTCATTCTGGTGTATATGCAAATTTAGAAAGATCACATCCCACCGTAGTGGAGGAGTCTGATATTGTGACCTTTGTGCCTCCTCAATATGCTGTTCAGATGCTTAGAGTTTTTATTTATCTTTAAACCAGACTTTCATGTAGAGGACACCTTCTAAAAGAAGATGGTCCACACACATAGAGAAATTCAAACCAATATGCATTTTTTCCTAATCAGGCCAAATACATTCTTAACAGAGCAGATTTCTGGTCCACTTCCTTAACCACCCAATTATAAATGTGCTCTAGTTCAGGCCCGAGGCAACTGCCAAAGGCGCACTCTTAAAATGTCGAAAAGAAAACAGCATCACCATTTAATATTCTAGCAGATCAGTTTCAGTCTTACCCATTGCAATGAGTTAAATAGTCTGGAGTGCGCAATTTAAAAAAAGCACTCAGAATTTTGATCACATAGGCAGGAAATGCCAAGAAGCTCCCCGTAATTATCATGTCAAGAGGAAGAAGGGGGAAGGGAGCATGCATTCTCTGTTAGAGGTTTCAACAAAGGGAGTGCAGTGAAGAGAGGCACCCGATGCATCTGTTTGTCAGGTCAGGGGCAATTCTCTCAGGCAGAACATTGGGGTATCATAACCACATCAGTATGTAGCTGAGGTTTGATCAGATGCTCCTCTGTTTCATTGGCTTTCAATATTTTCCTATTTGTGACTAGGACTGTTGGGCACCTTCTGAGGGAGATAGGGCCCAACACTGGACGATAAAGATGAAGGAATTGCAGCTGGGACTAATTCCATAACATTCCATCTCTTGCTCTGCCACAGAATATTCTATAGGATTCAGATTGCGCAATTTTAAGAATACAATTATTATTATTATTATTATTATTATTATTATTACACTGGTCAACAACAAATTTGTTGTCTGCGTTTTTTCAGTTGATTTA